GATTTGGTTTGCAATGAAATACAACCAATACTTCACTAACACTAGAGTACATGTGTTTCACAATTAATTAGATTTATTTGTTATAATTAAATATTCTATTGTGATTAATGTAATTAAATTAATCATTGACGTTTGAAAAATAGTAATTATACTTTACGTCCGTATATAAATTATAGTTATAATTTATTGAGCTATTGACAAATTAATATGTAATTCAAATAAAAAATTTATATTTTAATTACTATCATGATTATATAATATAATATATTTTCAGGGTCAATCAATAAGTACATCAAAAATATCAAAGCATAAGTAATATTTTTAAAATAAATTATCATAATAGTCAATAATATTTAAAATTAATTACTTTATAAATCTTAATAGCATTATATAATTCACATATTTGTGTATTACTCAATGACCCCGAGTAGTTCCTTGGTAGTATCCACCTGTGTAGGACCTACCAGTGCCGTACACACGGTAAGTGCCAGTATAACCCCCATAACCAGGGCTACCAGTGCCATACGGATAGTTAGTATACCCGCGGTGCTGGGAGCCTGTGTACCCAACAGGTCTATAAGTGGTACCGTCATAGTAATAACGTCCAGTTCCCGGTTGGCCAGTTGCCCCATAATAGCCGTTTGGAGTACCGGTTCCACCCCAGCGTCTGGTCTGTCCACTGTTGTAGTAATTATAAGTCCCGGTGCCATAAGTTTCAGTGGTGTAGGCGCCGGACAATGATGAGCTAACTAATATTATGGCAAATGCCATGATGAGACCTAGTTAAAATGTTATAATTAGAGTAAAATTATAAAAACTTTATAATTGTTACATGATAAGTTAATAATTATGTTGTTTTAATATTAATCTGCTACATACAAGTTAAAGGTAAAGTTCAATAATTTTTTAATTAAACCTAATTAAATTATATCTAGTTTGATAACTAATAATAAAATAAATAATAATTTGTAATAAAATAATTTAGTTTGTAGTGATTATAAATGTGAAATAATAATTTTAAGTAAAATTAACTAGAGAAATACAAACAAATAAATTACCAGGTAACATTTTACGATACTCCTAGAATGTTTAATGTCGAATGTTTAGTTAACAAACTAAATTAAAAAATTAAAGTTTGAAATATATTTAATTTTTATTACTTTTATAAGATTGCATACAATGATTGAAATAATGCTTGATTATATTATAATAAAATATTCTGGGATAAATAAAAGAGAAATAAATTTAATTAGTTTATTATTATTAATAGCCATTAGTCCTCATTATACAAACTGTAATATAAACTATCTAGAATACATATCTATTTTAAAACATAGTCCTAGTTAACATTATTGGATATATTGTTATGAAATGATCCCGTTCTAAAGAATTATTTATTTTCTATCTGTTCTATCTAAAAAAATATATATTAATTTTAAATAGAATTTCTATTAATTAAATTTTATTAATGTTATTGATATAATTGTAAATTGTTAAACTTATTAATTTGTAAAATTATAGTATAGCGTAGAAAAATAATATTTCTTATTAGTGCTCATATACAAACTGTAATATACTGTATATATATTAAAAATATATAATATAACTATTTTATAGCAAATTCTTAGCTATCATAAATGGATATTATGTAATCCAGTTTTAATAAATATATTTTGTACACAAGTAAGTCATGTACACACGTATAGTGAATTCAGCTAATAATATTAATATATAATAAAAATTAATATTATATTAATATAAGCTTATTTGTGAGTTGTCTAGACTCTAAACGCATGTCCATGTTTTGTTCAAATATTGATAAATTATTACAAATTATTATATGGATCGCGAGACCAAACGTAATTGTTATCTTGATAAACCGGAAGTTGTGGTAAATATTTGAAATAAAAAATATATTATATATACCGTATATATAAGTACTGTATTAAGTTATATAAAATAATAATAAATGATTTTAATAAAACCTGATAAGTTATTTAAATGCTAACAAAAAGTTATTATGCTAAAATGCAGCTCAAGCATTAGTTTAAAAAATGTTAAGTTTATTATTTAAATATTGGCTAAATTATTTGAAAATTATAATTTTGAATCATGTATACAAAGTATAGCTATTTGTTGTATACTTTGCCGCATATTTTCAGGAATATTACGAGTATTTGTTGGACTTTATCCGTGCAATGAATGCCAGAAAACAGAAGTACTTTGCGTTTCATTTTATGGCTAAACTCTCGCACGATATCCTCAATAACTGCGGATATTTTGATCCCATTATTGATAGACTTTTTGATCAATGATTTCGCGAAAATCTGTTAACAAATACAGTAATCGTGTTCTTCTCGGACCACGGGTTGAGGTTCGGAGACATACGACAGACACTGTCGGCAAAGTATGAGGAAAGGCTGCCTTTTATGCACATATATGTCCCCCAGAGATACCGTTCTCGCAATCTGACGGTCAATGAGCATCGGCTCACTACTCCTTTCGACATACACTCAACGCTTAAACATATTATCGAAGGTTTGTTTGAATAGATTTTTATCAAAATAAAAATTGTCTTTTTTAGGTAAACCCAACGATACGTTAAGTTATGGGTTATCCCTATTAGAGGAGATCCCATACGATAGGAGTTGCGATAGTATACCCATATTAGAGCACTGGTGCGGCTGTCAGACCAGTCAACCCATACATGACTTACACAGCGTTAGACCTATGGCTGAGTTTGTGGTCACAAAACTCAATGACTTACTGCACGTAAAGTATCGTAAGGTTTGCGTAAACCTAACATTTGGTGAAACACTGTCCGCATTTGAACAGCAAATGAATGCTAAGACTGTTGTGTCGACTGAAATGAAGCACTATTTGCTGACAATTCGTGTCCATCCGAGTGATGGTGTCTTTGAATCGACCGTTCATTTGAATACGACTTCACATCAAATGCTTATAATTGGAGACATTTCTCGCATTCATTTATACGCAAATCAATCGCATTGTATCGACAGTCCGTGGCTTAAGAAATATTGCTTTTGTAAGGATTTGCTATGAAACCGAAATAACTATAAATTAATTTTGCAATTGTTTAAATCAGGGTAAATTAATTTATAAAGTGAGCCGTATAAAGCAAGTTAATAAAATATGAAATCCAAATGAAAGTGCAAACTTTAATACAAAATATAGTTTTTCAATAAATTTAATAAATCATTAATTAAAACAAAATATTCAAATTAATGTATTTACTGAAGTATATAATCATTTCATTAAGATTTTGAATTTAAAAAACATTATTGAGCTTATGATTCAATAGAAACACAAATACAAACAATAAAATCGATGGAAATATTTGGTAATCGTAGGGACAAGTGGGGGTGGGGTGGGGTGGGGTGGACGGTGTGCTCTTGAATTCACCCAACCTAACAACATACATAACTTATATATATATATATATATATATAATTTAAATATACATTATATATATACTGTATGCACGTATATGTACAATATATTTATCATTCATTGTAACCGTTTGTATGGTTTGCGTATGGATTGCATGTATTGTTATCTACTCCACCAATCCATGTATGTATGCTCTCTCTCTCTCTCTCTCTCTCACTCTCCCCCTCCCTCCCTCTCACACTCACTCATAATCACCAGTATATCTACGGCAGTTAACCAGGATGTCTACAACACTTATGTTGGTGTTGTCCCTGTGTGTCTATGGTGTCTATGTTGTCTATGTTGTCAATTCTGGTTTCATACGAGAACTCAATACCCGGGCGCTCATTATGACTGCATTACTGGTCTCCTCAGCCATATGTCACTGGTTTGGTCTGAACGCCCGGCCCAACACATCCAAC